CCCTCCTCATATCTCTTAAACGACAGTTAACCCTACCTCTACCCCTTACCCTTACCCTACCCCTAACCCCACAAGCCAGGGGTTAACACACCAGTAGAAACTGTCCGGAGATTTTAAACGTGCTACTGTAAATCATTCCTCTTCGTTTTCCATGTCTTGCTCCCCTCTTCGCAGATCATTTGGTTTTATCTCCATCTTTCTGTGTCTGATAATATCAGTTGGTTGGGGAGTTCACTGAGTCTCCCGCCGTATAACCCAGAATAAAATAATGATGTGTTTAGTAAGTGGATTAATATGTGGATGACTCTCTCCGCCACCCCCCCTCAACCCCCACTTAGGTAAATATCAGTGCTCTATCACATTCTTCACCATTGTATAGTTGGATAAATATTGTTCTTTATAAAGAGCTTTATATAAAATCACATTGCCCTACCTTAAACGGTAACTATTATTAAAATTCTGTGCACAAGCTGCAACATGGCAGAAACCACGAGGAAGCAGTTGGATGCCAATTTATTGCGCCCGATGGAGCAGCAGCATGGACTGAGAAAGAACGGCGTTACCCTAACAGGGAAACAAGTTATTTGTGATTTCACTTTGTCTACTATGTGTTTAAATTTGAACTTGAAAAACATAGATATATATAATAATAATAATAATAATAATAAAGAACCTACAGAAACACACAGAAATTCAATTACTTTGAACAAAATTTAGTTTGTGTGTGAGATTTAGGTAAAACCAGGGAAAGAGCTATGTATCACTCCTTCCAGTATCTGATTGACGCCTGTGACCTTTACAAATGAGCCACCTGTCTCTCGTGAAGAAAGAGAATCAGGGCAGCTCAGAAGGACCCTAGCCAGAGGCCAGACACCATGCACCCCTATACAAACCCTAGCATTAACCATAAACTCAGCTTCATAGCCGTTGAGGCATCATTATTGCGTATACTCCAGGGGTTCCCAACTCATTTTTCTGGTGGAACCCTTTGATATTGTGTAGCAACATTGTGAAACCACCGAAAAAAAATTGCATCGTAGCACAAACCTTTTAATTAGCAGAGCATAATTTTTTGGGGGCAAATTTAGTTAGTTGGTATATATACACTAATTTCTACAAGTAGTAAGCACATTGTAGTACTTAGGAGGAGGTGTCCTTCTGCGTGTAGAGTTGGTGTTTATATGATTTTAGCATTTTAATACAGGAATGTGTTTGTATGTAATGTTGGATTTTAACTGTGGATGTACATTTGTGTGTAGTATTGGTGTTTGAGTGAAGGATGTGTTTCAGTGTTTGTATATAAGTTGGAGTTCAGGAAAGTCTTTGTATGTCATGTATCTGTTGGCAGACGTGTGTTTGCATATTGTGTTACCCATAGTAACATATTGACACATACATACAGATACACACACTGGCACACAGATACACACACTGACATAAATACACTAGCATATACACAGATACACACACTGGCAGATACACTGAGACTTAGATACACACACTGGCAGATACACTGACACAAGGATACATACACTGGCAGATACACACAGAAACACACATCTTGACAAACAGATACACACACTGGTGGATACACATACAGACATACAGAGACACACAGGGCCAGCCTTAGGGGTGTGCGAATTGTGCAGCTGCACATGGTGCCATGGCAGCATTGGGCACCATGACAGATCACACATGGTCGGGTGATAGGGGGAGATAAAGCAGGCACCAGAGTGGAGGATTTCATTATTCTCCAGCTGTGACTAATATAAATATAGCAAGGCAGCGAAGGCGGGGCTTGTCAAGGTGCGGAGGTGGGGCTACAATGGCAGCGGGGCGGAGCTAAAAGCGCCCATTAGCCCATGGCTTGAAACTGCAAAAACACATACTTTACAAAACCCCAAAAGTACCCCAAAACACAGCATATCCCCCTAAATGTTACATCCCCTTATAGCCATGATCTGAGTGACCAACATATCCAAAAATCACCCAGGTCAGTTCAGGAGCTCAGAATTTTCCTGGATATCACATTTTGACCGACCACATGCATGGTTCCATGCCCAAAACACTTCCAGAGAATTAAGGCTTGGTCTACTTTGGGGATTCGAAGTAAAGTTTAAAATACTGAACGTAGCCGTTCATGAGTACAGTCAGTGTATGTCTCTTGGTCGGGAGTTTCTTCTTACTGAATGCTGTTCGACTCCCATTCGAATAGCTGAACATCCATGGAAGGTAAAAGTTTAGCAGTGTTCGCGCTGTCGAGTGTCTGATTTGAGTTCCATGCATTCGATGACCAAACATCGCTGGATGCGTTCGACTAAACAAGATGGCCGCCGCCACGTGTTCGAATGCCACTTCGAATGGCTTCTGGAGTTCGGGAATTCGAAGTGTCGCTTCGAAAGTTCAAATGGTTCCTGTTATAAGTCCCAGAGAAGAAGGGCTGCAGCGGAATAGGCAGAGGGGACAATACCTGCCTGGAAGGATAGCTGCAGCCTGGGCGGGAGGAAAAGCTCCAGAATAGCCTCAGTCAAACTGCGACGAGTGGGGCACAATCATTTCAGGTCCTGGTTACAGCTAGGGAGCGAGCTTAGTGGAGGTACCCAGTCGGGGCATAGGGAGCTCCGTCGCATTAATCTTTATCTTATTTTCAATTCCTTAAATCGACATTCCACTGCCCCCAACAAAAAAACACCCACCATTTAGTAGATATACCACAATGAAAACATGTAAACATTTAATGAGCGTTTCCTTTAAACAATTTGCAGTTGCTGCAGATTTCTTGTCTGCTGTGTTTGTAAGCCCTCTTCAAACTCCACCTAGACTTTCCGTGGCTGTCCAATCAGGGCCATCTTTAATATAGATTGGACCCTGGGTAAGCATTTGCTTGGGCCCCCGCCCTCCCACCCCCTAGTGTGCAATTACGCCCTCCACCCCAACATGCATTAAAAAAACAAAACATCAAATATCAGTGCTCCTCAACCTTTTCTCACCTAAGACACACCGAATCTGTTCCCAAAAGTTTCGGGGAACACCACAAGCAAAAATATACAGCCATATATAGTATTTTACCCTGCCTTTTTCTTGCTGGTGCCCTACAATATGTCCAATAAAGAATGCACTCATATGATTTCAGAATAAACTAAATAATTTATTTATTTTAATCAACATGCAACAGTGTAAACGTTTCATTCCCATTACTAGATGTTTCACAATATGCCACGTTAATGGGGCTGAAGTGCTGCCTGTATCATGTTACATGTCTGCTTAGAATATAGCAGCTCTTCTGTGTGTTTTGTTCTATTAATGCATGCCTTCATGATCATGAATGAAGAGAAATAATTTTTAGTGTTACATTTTGTAGCGGAGCTCCCTGTACCCTGGCTGGGCAACACCGCCAAGGATCACTTCCTAGCTGGAACCGGGGAAAACCTAAGCACGTCAGCCCCAGTCACTGTGGTTTGACTGGGGTCCTCAGGGAGCAGGATAGGGGACTAGCTCTATTCCCTCCCATTGACGGACAACACAGTCCTGGTAACTGTAGTTCTTACAAGGACTTTCCCGGCCGAATTCTCTACGAGCTGGAACAAGATGCTAAACAGTGACTAGGCCTTTCCTCTCCCAGTAACTAGATGACACATAGTTCTGGGAGTATAACTGATTTTAATTAGCCAAACTCTGCCTTTTATGCACAGACCCCAGCAGGGGGTCTCCATTGTATTCAACATAAGCCCCTCCCAGGAATCTCTGGTTCTGGGAGATAATTGCGTTAAAGACCTATAAGCTAATTATCTCCCAGGAACAGAGAGCCAAACATAAAAATATAAAAACATAAAAGTACCCCAAAACATAATAAAAACTTAAAATAACCCTACAAATAATACTTTTTAACTAGCCCTTATCTAAGTGCCCAAGTTCTCCAAAAAGCACTCAGATCCATGCAGTGTAGGGGAAACACCACCGTGTTAAAGTTCTGACCGGCCGCACACGTGGTCCTATGCCCAATATTGTTCCAATATATGCCCAATAAGGTGTTTGGTGGTTCTGGTGGTCAACTTTTGGGAGCTCCGGGGTGCTCTGCCTGGTTCTCAGGTAGCATTTGTTTCCAGTAGTCTCAGGCACTTTTTCTCTCCTGGCAGGTGTGGTTCAAAACCACAAACCAAGTTGTCCGTGAACCGCACAGTCACCTCATGCCGAAAACAGTTCCATAACATTCACGGCTAAGTCTTGCCGAGGTGACCGGAAACCCTCAAAGTCCTCATGCTGAAATTAGTTCCATAGAGGTCGCGGCTAAGTACCACTGAGGACTATTCGTGAGTTTGGTTCAGCCGCCAGGGAGCTAGCACTCGGTTCCATTCGCATGAAGGGAAAGTCCTGAACCAAGGGCACCCAGGTAATGCTGGGTGCCCCAGACCTACACCATAGTCGGTGGGCAGGAGGCCAGCTTGCACACTCCTCCAGGAGTTTGTGGTAAATGTACGTGGGAATGAGCGTTTGTCACACATTTCTACCCATCTGTATCTACACAATATTCGTCTGATTGGTATAAACTTTTTTTCCAGTCTGGCCAGGACATATTGCAAGAGCAAGGATACCACCCAACATCTAAAAAAATATACCCATAGTAATCCTACAAAGAGTAAACAGAAACAAATATAATCTGTATTAGTTGTTCTATGTCTACATGCTATATCCGCATTACATGTTTCAAATAAATATTTTTAGTAGAACAAAACGTGATGGATAAAGTGTAGATAGATATATGAAGATATTATATGTAGATATAAAGATATTATTTTAGAGTAATCATTTGTGAATACTTTTTTAATTTATTTGTTTTGTATTGTTTTTCACAGAATATCATGAGACGCAAGTTGATCTACATGCTAATTATTGTTTTTGTGCTAACCTGTATTACATTAATTACATCTATACTAACAAAATATGAAGATATAAAATATCGGAATAAGAAATGGAATTTGAATTCACTTCTGAAACTGGAAATGCACCCTCCTCTAGAACTGGGAACTGTGAATCTCACTGATGGAGATTATACTTACTACCTGAACATTAATGAGTTCTGGACTGAATTCCCGTACCTACAGAGTTATCAGTGCTCACTCAAACTCACGCCACATGGCCAGTTTGAGAATAAGACCACTCAACCACTCTTAATCATGGCTATAAAATCCCACCCAGACTTCAGCACAAGACGAGCGATACTGAGACAAACATGGGCTGCAGAGAGGGAAGTCAGTGGGTACTGGGTGAAACCCATCTTTCTTACAGCACAAGCTGACAATCCCAGACAGATGGAACTCATGAAGTCAGAGAGTCGCAAGTTTGGAGACATTCTACAGTGGAACTTCACTGAAAGTCATCACAACCTGTCCCTAAAGGAACGCTGCTTCCTGGAATGGCTTCACTATCACATCCCTTGGGTGGCATTTTTATTTAAAGGTCTGACATTTTCAAAATCTTAACTGTTAAGTATATATAAAATATAAAATAGGTATTAATCTATTTTTTATCTTAGATAGCTATCACTGACCCTGGAACAGTAATCTCTGTGTGTGAGACACTCTCTATCCCATCAGAGGGGACGTCACTGACCCTTTATAGGAATCCCTGTGTGTGAGACGCTCTCTTATCCCATCAGAGGGGGCGTCACTGACCCTATACCTTTTAGTAATTCCTGTGTGTGAGACGTTCTCTTATCCCATCAGAGGGGGCGTCACTGACCCTATAACTTATAGGAATCTCTGTGTGTGAGACGCTCTCTTATCCCATCAGAGGGGGCGTCACTGACCCTTTAACTTATAGGAATCTCTGTGTGTGAGAAGCTCTCTTATCCCATCAAAGGGGGCATCACTGACCCTATAACTTATAGGAATCCCTGTGTGTGAGACACTCTCTTATCCCATCAGAGGGGGCGTCACTGACTCTATTACTTATAGGAACCCCTGTGTTTTAGACGCTCTCTTATCCCATCACAGGATAACTTATAGGAATCCCTGTGTGTGAGACGTTCTTATCCCATCAGAGGATATAAAGCTTCACTGCTCTGTTTGTCTTCATTACTGTTGTAAAGTATCAGGTTAAATTAATATCTTGTAATATATTTATTATTGGACAAACTGAATTTTGGAAGACCAGCTTTCGGAAGATCCACGTGCTCCTGGAGGAGCCTGCTTGCCAGCCTTTTACCTCAGGACTATGGGCCCTGCAGAAAGAACTGCAAAATACATTTTAAAAGACTCCGTTCGTTTGGGTTCCCTGTGTTGTTTGGGAACCGAACAGATCCACAAACTAAAGACCACCTGTGAAGAAACTACCCCTGTTATTTGGGTACTTCCGAACACCGACCACCCCCCTGGCTCTTTTGCTTCAAAGACAACTGCCAATTTAGTGCTCTCCCTGTTTGGCTGCAGTTCGTATAGTCGAACGCCACATGTAAGAGAAAATGGTGGCCATCTTGTTTGCGGTAGTTGGTCATAGAGTGTCTGGAACCAAAATCTTCCCGAGCACCGGTCAAACTTCATGAACGCCTGCTTCCTTTCTCTGACCAGGCAGGAGAGCACTATTCAATAGATTTGTTCCCACGAACTAGGGGAACAAACGCTACCTATGAGCCAGGGGAACCGTTCGTGTATTATTTCATTTTTTATACTTGGCGAAATAGACCGACGGCACAGCCCAATCTCATGGAACTATTTCATGTAACTTTTGAAACCCTGAACTGATCTGGGTGATTTTTGCATATGTTGGTCACCCAGATCGGGGCTATCAGGAAATATGTTTGGGGTACGTTTTAAGTTTTGCCAATATATATGTTTTTTATGTTGTGAGATAATTGAGTTCAGTAAATTGCTTGACTCAATTATCTCCCCAGTACAAGGGAAAATGCCATTACAGTATGTAGGAGTGTCCTGGACCTGAGAGCCAATAGATTTACGGAATGTCCCTTTTCAGCTCCAGTAGGCAATGCCCCTGGAATATGTTAACCGAAACCCTGTGTATTGTTCACTGCATAAAAGCCAGGCAGTTAGCCTGAATAAAGCATTTCTGTTATACCCTTCATCTAGTTTTGACTGATGTGTGGGGACCTGTCTACTTGGCTGGGAGAATCTACTTGAGAGCTGTGATTGGTCTGGAGAAGCGTTCGAACCAACACCCAAACTGCGAGCTATAATCACTCAGGCTCTAGCAGTTCGGGAGGAAACAGGCGAACGGGTACCTGTCATACCAGCATTCGTTACACCAGGGAGGGAACTTGTTAAACATTATTGATACCCTGTAGCGATACTGCCCGCAGTGTTCTAAGTGTTCATCTGGGTGGCCACCGTGGTGGTGTCCATCTTGTTCCCACGAACGCAGGCAGCTGTGTTTGGTAGTCAAGTGCATGGAACTAAAATCGGACACTCGATCTCTCGAACACCGCTGAACTTCCATCCCACCTGCGTTCGGTACTTTACATCCTGGAAGAGTGCTGTTCAATGGAATCGTTTGTCTGAATGAGGTGAACAAGCTCCCTGTTATACTTCTGGATTATGTTTGGTATTTAATGCCAGCGTTACAGCTTGGTTGGGGTCTCGCTGTCCTCCACCCACCCTGAACCCAAGACCAGGATCCAGCTTCCAGTGGGTAGACCTCTCACAATCCAGAGAGTAAAGCAGGATAGCTCTTACAAGAGGTAGTGTTGTAATCCAAGGGAGTATAGTGAATATAGCAATCCCCAGAGTGAATATAGCTGTTCCCTCCACACATGAGATGAGGCTCTATGTTGAGGGTGAAGAGGAACTGTTTTATGGCAACCACAACTGGCCTTATATGCAGGTCCCCATGCAAGGGGTTTACTATAGCATATTCCAGGGGCATTCCCCACTGGACCTGAGAGGGGGCTGTGACAAAGTACACACTGTAATTACATTGGCTCTCAGGTCAAGGACACTCCAACACAAAACAGGACAATCCCTCCCCTGTCCCTGAGAGATAATTGAATCAGGAATCAGGAATTGTACTAAACTCAATTATCTCCAGGCACAGAAAACATATATTTTACAATAACCCGAAATAACCTAAAAGTACCCCCACAAATATATCCAACATATCCAAAAATCACCCAGATGATCGGTTCAGGGGTTTGGGATTTCCATGGAAGTCATAGTTTGTCTGACCGCACATGAGGCTCCTGCTCAAAAGAGTCCCATGAAATTAAGCTGTGCAGTCGGCCTCTTTTAGGAGTATGAAATACAATAAAAGTTTGAATGCAACCAGTTCATATGTACACTTAAACTGTGTCCCTTGTCCGGGAGTGCGTTCCCACTGAATGCCGCTCTTCTCCAATGAATATAACTGAACTTGATTGGAGCTGGAAGAGCTGTTCGTGCCATTAAGTGCCCGATTATAGTTCCATACACTCGACTAAACACCGCTGTATGCGTTCGCGGCTAAAGATGGCCACCGCCATGTGTTTGTTCAAACGAACAACAGCCACCCAGCCACCCAGCCAACCGCTCAGAATGTTGAGGTAATTGCGGTTACTAGGGATGTGCATGGGCAAAAAATTCAGTTCGGCATTCCAAAATTCGGGACTTCGGCAATTCGGTACTTCATAAATTCAGGAGTTCGCCATTCGGGACTTAGGGTAAGTGTAGGGTTAGGAGTAGGGTTAGGGGTAGGGTTAGGAATAGGGTTGGGTTAGAAGTAGGGTTATGGTTAGGAGTAGGGTTAGGGTAGGGTTAGAAGTAGGATTAGGGTCAGGAGTAGGGTAAGGGTTGGGTTAAGAGTAGGGTTGGGTTAGGAGTAGGGTTAGGGTTGGGTTTGGAGTAGGGTTAGGGTTGGGAGTAGGGTTAGGAGTAGGGTTGGGTTAGGAGTAGGGTTAGGAATAGGGTTAGGGTTGGGTTAGGAGTAGGGTTGGGTTAGGAGTAGGGTTAGGGTTAGGGTTGGGCTAGGGGTAGGGTTAGAGTTAAGGTAGGGTTAGGAGTAGGGTTTGGGTTAGGGTTGGGTAAGGAGTAGGGTTAGAGTTAGGGTTAAGGTTGGGTTAGGAGTAGGGTTAAGGTAGGGTTAGGGTTATACCCCCAGGATTCAGTCTCAACTAATGTCTTTGGGGGAAAGCTATACTTGTTATAATCACTTGCTATACAGCTATACTCTCTTGGAGGAGAGGTCTTCCCACTGGGAGCTGGATCCAGGGTGGGAAGGGATGGCGAGACCCTAGCCAAGCTGCGGCGGCTATGGGGACTATAGTGCTTATGGTGTCCGGTGCGGTGCTTATGGTACTCGGCGACAGCTAGGAAGCGCGATTGGCAGAGGCACCCAGCCGGGGTGCCAGGCGATCCACCACACTAGATGAAGGGAGAATCTCTAGAAAGCTTGTTGTTCCAAAATGATGTTAGTCCCAAAACCGGTATTACAAAATACTAATTTAATCTCTTATTTTACATTTATATGACTGGACTAATAAGAAAACCATTTTGACTTGATTTCTGCTATTATTTGTATTTTCGGTGACTACTAACAGTCATTTTCTCTTCTCTTTCAGGAGATGATGATGAATATGTGAATCCCTATGCTGTGGTGAAGTACATAAAGGAACATGGCTCCTCCCCTGTCACATTACACGGCTACCTGCGTCCTCATTCAGCCGTTATGCGTCACACCAAATACCGCATTTCAAAGGATCTCTATCCTTTCTATTTATATCCTAACTTCCTCTCCGGTGGGGGCTTTCTGTTCCCAGGGACCACGGTGAAGAAGCTGTACAATGCATCCAAGAAAATCCCTGTTTTCCCATTAGACGATGTGTATTTTGGGTTCTTGACTTTAGCAGCAAATCTAACCTTTCGCCACGAAGAACGGTTCCATGTGTATGGATTGGCCTATAACGTGTGCAAGTACAAGCAGGCTCTGTTGATTTATGGGATTGGGCCAGAACGTATGACAGAGATATACAATGAGGTGCAGAAAGCACAGTGCAAGGACTGACACTACGCGCCTTCTGGATGGGACGAGAGCTCCCTGCTCTCTGAGTGACAAGAAAACCGTAAACAGGATCAAAACATTTTGTATTTATATTTCAACATGTAATGGTAGAGAAATACAGATTTTTAAAATATATATATATTACCTATATAATAACCTGCATATCTTCTACATTAGATTAATTCTCTGGATCAGTTTCTCTCTCCTGTGATATGAATGGCTTCCTATTAATTCATTATTGGCATCTATTTATCAGCCGTAGATCAGATTGGTGTATTGGCAAAGATTTCACCCCCTGTCTTTTCTACCTTCTCAGGAAGTTGCTAACTCTAACAAACCTCTAACAAATAAATCACCTTTTTGCTGAGAACTTTGTTTAAATCAGAAAAACAAGAATGATCCATTGCTCCTTACAAGCTAAGAAAATGTTATACTAAATCTTGCAAAGGAAGGTCCATTGACAAGATCTCTCAGGGATCCAGTTCCAGATATCATCAGATTCCTAGCGAGATCCTTGATTGATTTCTTGGTCCTGTGTAAGTGACAGAATACCAAAGCTACTGCATTTTCTGCTGTGACCCATGTCTCATAATATTATCAAGAAAAGACTTCGATTTGTTGTATTTGCATGCTTGATTTAATGAAGGACACTATAGGCCATTCTATCTGTGGTCTACCAGTTTCGTTCCATGTTGGCTAATGACGCTAATGGGTGGACTTACACCTCTGGTTGTGACGTTCTTTAATTCAGTATGTGTAAGGAACACATACACTGAAACTCACGTACAGACTCCAAGCACCATGACAGCTTCTTATCACTGAAGTGGTTATGGTACTTGGAGTAACCATTTAATTATTTTTTTTTGCCAGTACGTGAGAATTCCAAAAATGCATTTTGTACAAGATTGTAAATGTATGTTTTTTGTGTATTGCTTTCAATATGTGTGGGGATGTAGGGTGTATCTGTGTATAGTGTGTTTGGGTAACAAACAAATAAATAAAAATGTGTTTCACGTGTCTTACACAATATCTTGGCTTCCTCAATCGAGGGTCTCAACTAGTTGTTCTGTGTCTAGAGGACTGTGAGTCCATATTGATTTGACAGACTCAGCCTATGCAGGGTATGACTGGCTGCTGGCCAGAGGTATAACATTATTCATATTTTTCTATATAATTTAGCTTTTGGGGCTGTTTAATCCAGACACCTGTGTGCTATAATACCATACTAAACAGAGTGACTGCGTGCTATAATACCTACCTACCTTGTGTGACTGCGTGTTATAATACCATCCTACCCGGTGTGACTGCATGTTATAATACCATCCTACCCAGTGTGACTGCGTTCTATAATGCCATCCTACCCGGTGTGACTGCGTGTTTTTTTTAATGCCATCCTACCCGGTGTGACTGCGTGCTATAATACCATCCTTACAGGTGTGACTGTGTGTTATCATGCCATCCTAACCGGTGTGACTGCATGTTATCATGCCATCCCAACCGGTGTGAATGCGTGCTATAATACCATGCTACCCTGGTGTGACTGCCTGCTATCATGCCATCCTACCCGGTGTGACTGCGTGTTTTCTTTAATGCCATCCTACCCGGTGTGACTGCGTGCTATAATACCATCCTTACAGGTGTGACTGTGTGTTATCATGCCATCCTAACCGGTGTGACTGCATGTTATCATGCCATCCCAACCGGTGTGAATGCGTGCTATAATACCATGCTACCCTGGTGTGACTGCCTGCTATCATGCCATCCTACCCGGTGTGACTGCGTGTTTTCTTTAATGCCATCCTACCCGGTGTGACTGCGTGCTATAATACCATCCTTACAGGTGTGACTGTGTGCTATAATACCATCCTACCCAGTGTGACTGCATGTTATCATTTGTATACATGGTGTGACTGCATGTAAACATGCCATCCTTCCTGGTGTGACTGCAGACTGAGCTCTCGGGTCCTCTCTCATTCCCTCCCTCTGCTGGCTGTCAGCACAGTGCCTGCGGACCGGGGAGGGAGGTCCGCAGGTACTAGATCCCCCCCTGGATCCGCCACTGCATCCTATCCGGTGTGACTGCATGTTGTTACATATTCAAATGTGAGGAAGGCTGTGACTGCGTGTTATTGTGCCAACCTACGCGGTGTGACTGCATGTTATCATACCATCCTACCCGGTGTGATTACATGTTATCATGCCATCCTACACGGTGTGCCTGTGTACTATAATACCATGCTACCCGGGGTGACTGCGTGTTAAAATACCATGCTACCCAGTGTGACTGCATGTTATCATGCCATCCAACCAGCTGTGACTGCATATTATAATGCCATCCTACCCGGTGTGACTGCATGTTATCATGCCATCCTACCTGGTGTGACTGCCTGCTATAATGCCATCCTACCCGGTGTGACTGCGTGTTATCATGCCATCCTACCCGGTGTGACTGCCTGCTATAATACAATCCTACCCGGTGAGACTGCGTGCTATAATGCCATCCTACCCGGTGTGACTGCATGTTATAATACCAGCGTACCCCGTGTGACTGCATGTTATCATGCTATCCTACCCGGTGTGACTGCGTGTTATAATGCCATCCTACCTGGTGTGACTGCATGTTATCATGCCATCCTACCTGGTGTGACTGCCTGCTATCATGCCATCCTACCCGGTGTGACTGCATGTTATTATGCTATCCTATCCTGTGTGACTGCATGCTATAATACCATCCTTACCGGTGTGACTGTGTGTTATCATGCCATCCTACCCGGTGTGACTGCATGTTATCATGCCATCCAATCCGGTGTGACTGCGTGCTATAAACCATGCTACCTGGTGTGACTGTGTGTTATCATGCCATCCTACCCGGTGTGACTGCATGTTATCATACCATCCTACCCGGTGTGATTGCCTGCTATCATGCCATCCTACCCTGTGTGACTACTTGTTTTTTTTATGCCATCCTACCCGGTGTGATGGCGTGCTATAATACCATCCTTACCGGTGTGACTGTGTGTTATCATGCCATCCTACCCGGTGTGACTGCATGTTATAATGCCATCCCACCCGATGTGACTGCGTGCTATAATGCCATCCAACCCGGTGTGACTGCGTGTTATTGTGCCATCCTACCCGGTGTGACTGCATGCTATCATACCATCCTACCCGGTGTGACCGTGTGCTATAATACCATCCTACCCAGTGTGATTGCATGTAAACATGCCATCCTACCCGGTGTGACTGCATGTTATCATACCATCCTACCCGGTGTGACTGTGTGCTATAATACCATCCTACCCAGTGTGACTGCATGTTATCATGCCATCCTACATGGTGTGACTGCATGTAAACATGCCATCCTTCCCAGTGTGACTACATGTTATCATGCCATCCTACCCGGTGTGACTGCGTGTTATCATACCATCCTACGCAGTGTGACTGCATGTTATCATGCCATCCTACACGGTGTGACTGTGTACTATAATACCATGCTACCCGATGTGACTGCGTGTTATAATACCATCCTATCCGGTGTGACTGCATGTTATCATGTCATCCTACCCGCTGTGACTGCATGTTACAATGCCATCCTACCCGGTGTGACTGCGTGTTATCATGCCATCCTACCCGGTGTGACTGAGTTCTATAATACCACCCTACCCAGTGTGACAAACTGCTATAATGCCATCCTACCCAGTGTGACTGCATGTTATCATGCCATCCTACACGGTGTGACTGCCTGCTATAATACAATCCTACCCGGTGTGACTGCGTGCTATAATGCCATCCTACCTGGTGTGACTGCATGTTATAATACCATCCTACCCAGTGTGATTGCATGTTATCATGCCATCCTACCCGGTGTGACTACATGCTATAATACCATCCTGACCGGTGTGACTGCGTGTTATCATGCCATCCTACCCGGTGTGACTGCATGTTATCATGCCATCCCATCCGGTGTGACTGCGTGCTATAAACCATGCTACCTGATGTGACTGCATGTTATCATGCCATCCTAACCGGTGTGACTGCATGTTATCATACCATCCTACCCGGTGCATGTTATCATGCCATCCTATCCGATGTGACTGCATGCTATAATACAATCCTTACCGGTGGGACTGCGTGTTATCATGCCATCCTACCCGGTGTGACTGCGTGTTATCATGCCATCCCATCCGGTGTGACTGCGTGCTATAAACCATGCTACCTGATGTGACTGCATGTTATCATGCCATCCTAACCGGTGTGACTGCATGTTATCATACCATCCTACCCGGTGCATGTTATCATGCCATCCTATCCGATGTGACTGCATGCTATAATACAATCCTTACCGGTGGGACTGCGTGTTATCATGCCATCCTACCCGGTGTGACTGCGTGTTATCATGCCATCCCATCCGGTGTGACTGCGTGCTATAAACCATGCTACCTGATGTGACTGCATGTTATCATGCCATCCTAACCGGTGTGACTGCATGTTATCATACCATCCTACCCGGTGCATGTTATCATGCCATCCTATCCGATGTGACTGCATGCTATAATACAATCCTTACCGGTGGGACTGCGTGTTATCATGCCATCCTACCCGGTGTGACTGCATGTTATCATACCATCCTACCTGGTGTGACTGTGTGCTATAATACCATCCTACCCAGTGTGATTGCATGTTATCATGCCATCCTAACCGGTGTGGCTGCATGTTATCATGCCATCCTACCCGGTGTGACTGCGTGCTTTAATACCATCCTGACCGGTGTGACTGCGTGTTATCATGCCATCCTACCCGGTGTGAATGCATGCTGTGATAAAGTGAAGGCAGATAGGCCTTTTAACCCCAGGGGAAGAAAGTGTAGTTTGTGTGTTGCACAACACAAAACACTGTTTAGTTATGGGCCCCTGGGGTGGAGCATTTGGAGAGAAGGGTGGGCCAATGCTCCACTCCACAGTTTAGTGATTTTCTGGGGAGACATGGATCCAGGCCAGGGTTTT